TACCTTTTTGTGAGGAATATCACGAGGCAACAAGTAAGCTGATCACATACAATCATGCAATGTGTCTGTCGGCACAATGAATCTCAGCACTCAATGTCAAATTTCCGCGCATATGGTCTATCCAAGTTACGAAATGGTTGTGAGAGCAACAGATAAGCCGTGATCAAAAGGTTAGGATAACCACAAATGCTAACAAGCCTTGATTTGCAGTGCTCAATGCATGAACCATAAGCAATTTGGTGAATTCTCCTCACATACGAATGAATATCTTTGTTTATGTGAAAAAGGAATGGATTGATTGTTTGTTTGCAGTGTGTGATCGGTGATGGCCAACGGATGATATAAAATCCGTTAGGTAAACATCTGACACAAGCCGTTGGAAGGCACACTACTCACTCGTATGCACGTCAAAATAAACGACGGACAACGAATTCATCGAACCCACCTGTGCAGTGTACCAGTCCAGTATATGAAGGAAAGTATAATAAACTAGATCCGAAAAAGACATCAATCACACCTTGCTAGTTTCGAAACATAGACGACGACGACATTTATTCATCAGTTCTCTTGGAATAATGGCTAGAATTACCCCGATTTGTATAATCGAATGAAGTTGTTCTACTTCTTGATGTATATGTTCATATGTATAGACACAGTAGCTTTTCAGGTACCAACATGTGTAGCGTTCAGTCATGAATCATGGATTCAGCAAGTGGATTCAATTTCATTTTCATTGGTCACGATAGCATGGGAATAGGTACGTGTATAGCGCTAAAGAAATATCCAGTATCAGGTATCTACGTGGATATTATCCAATTTATCACTTGCACCGAATAGCCTTTGAATATCGGTCGTCGTATGTGTGTATGTACCACCTTGCCTGAGCAAATAAATATGGAATAGGTATATGTAGATGTTGATTGGAGATCGGTAACAACGAAATTGATTAACGGAAAGGTAACTTGAGCAGTTGGATGACACTCAATGAAGAATGAATGCGTGCATACATAACAAGTAATACGATATCATTTCAATTAAATACCCACAAGTATTCACAATCGACTATCAGAAACGATAAATAAAGATGTATTTGTTGGGACGAGAACATAATCGTAGCGAATACCTCGACGAGAGAATACCTTCGAGGAAAGTTACGATATATCTGTAGCAGTTTTGTCCATATTATGGGGCTGCAATGTTAACTTTGCCTGTACTTATAGGCTGCAGGATAAACTAAAGTTATCCTTAGTAACTTCAAATGAATATAACCCCAGTCTATCAGGAGCATAAGCAGAAAAATGTTGAGAATCGATTTGCCCACGTAAGAACGCAATTGTTATGATGAGGGATCGATCTAAGTATTCGATCCACATCAGAGCAACTTTATTTTAAAATGGACACAAATATAATGCAGTTAATTGATCTTCGGAGGTTGATGAGGCGTTTATGTTAGATCAGTGGTTCTGACGTTCGGGTGCTCCATTACACTTTTTCATGATATGGCAGGCCGCCGTTACCCCGCTCTCCCCTCCCTCCCGATGAAATATGGAAATCGCACATGTTATGTTCAGATGACCGTTACGTTTAATCTTACTAGCACGTCC